AAAGCGATACTCTCTTAACACACTCAACGACACCTCTGAGAAAATCCCTTGCAGTCAAGAACTGATGGTGTTTCTGTTTTTAACCGCAACATACTGTGCAACTGTTCATTAACTAACGTAAGAGCTGAATTAATATCAACTTTCTCCAAGTATTTTGATTCTATACCAGTAATTTGCTCGGAGACTCCAACATTGTTCGAAGCATATGAACTGACTGTATTGTTTTAGAGGCTGGTACGCCATGAGGTCCTTGCAAGCAGTTAATTTTCAAATGTAAAAGTGTCTTGGCTTCAGATGTGCCGTTTTCAAAGAAACTTTCAACGTCTTTTAACTTAGAAATTGACATCCTGATATCATCGCTATGACCACTTCCCAATATTTCAGTATGCACAGAAAATGACTTGTAAATATCACGGAGTACAGACAGATATTTGTGCATTGGTGACAAAGACGTTACAAGTCTGATATTTTTCGATCCAGAGTCTATAACAAACAGAGTGTTGCCTTCAGTACATATTCCTGATGGTTGCGAAAATTGGCAATCTTTACCAAGACCATCCTCATTTCCTTCCTCTCCTTTCCCAGCGAACAAAACGACATCAGATTGGTTAAGTGATACATTTTCAATGTCTTTGATCTTGTATAATGCTCTTTTCCCAACGTCAGAGTATATTAATTCAGTTCCAACTATGGCAATTCCATGTGGTTGGTTGCAGATTTCGGTACCAGTTTTCAGAATCACAGAGACTGTGTTTGAATCCAATTCTAGGCGCAGAATACCAGCTGTATGATCGGCTAAGTACAGATAGTTTGAACAGTAGGCTAATTCAAAACATCCACTCATATCTGGTACACTAATCGAGTATAAACTTGTTCCAAAAAGGTCATAGCCATAGGCAGCAACTTTTCGTTTCACAGAAACCTGCAAGATTGACTTTGTTTTCTGATCATGCTGCTACAAAGAACAAATCTTTGTTAACTTTAACTAGTTTAGTAGGTACAACAGTGTCAATGCCAATGTCAAGAACCCTGACTGTGTCTTTTGTGCCTCTTGGAAGACATGCCGCCTCTATTCTCCTGTTGATAATTTGTCTGAGGGTTTTCAGATTACTTTTTTCGGGTTTTGTTATCTCCAAAAACGTGGCATATTCACACAGATTTCTTTTGGTTGATTTAGATATGTCTAATTTCAGAGTATCTTTATGGTCTATGTAGACTGTTTTGTTTTTGCCACTTTCACACACGAACAGTATCCCATCTAAATTCATAATCGAACTGGGTGTGCTCAGACCTTTTGCCAACTGTTTGACCTCTGCTGGATAGTGAAGTCTAACTGAATATATAACTCATACCAGATCAGCAACGTACAATACGGACGGATCATCCGAAAGACATATGTCTATTGGTTCCTTTAAAATGCTTGGATGATTGTCATCGCATTTTCTGTACTTTTCCGGAACGACAGTACATACGACCACGTCATTATCTGAATTGTGTAGACAGTCAAGGACTTTTTCTGAACTTATTTCGGCAAATGGCAAAATTGGTTTGGGAAATATAAATGTTGCCTTTTTTCAAAGATTTGTCCATTTATTAGAACATTTAGTATCCAGTTGTTTCGTTTTTTTACCTCTTTATTTTTTTTTTCAACATTAAAGTTCGTCTCCCTTTGATAGTTCTCCCTCCTTTCTCCCGCCCCTTTCTTCTTTCTCCCGCCCCCTTTCTCCCTGTCTCCCAATACCCTTTCCACCTACTCATAAAAGAGGGACGAAAGATACCAGAGGGACAGCACTGCAGAAAACATACTAATGATAATCATAGAATATCCGGGGTACTCACAGATACTGATTGGTGTCCACACTTATTTGATTTATAAAGTACTAAAATATTTACCAGAATAACAAAAGTTTCATAGGAAACAATTAACATGCCTTAAATCGTTATCAAGTATCAGCATTTCGTGCATATTTTAGGACTAGACGTCATTCCATCTAATTAACCGCCGAGATAACATCCAAAGACCATCGATGCTTACGTGCAATAGTATAATGACGATGTTTCTATATTTGAAGCAAAGAAGTTCCTTACAAGCCAAGAGGTCAATGCACATGATTCTAATAAAATCGAAGTTCATAACCAAACGAATTTTATAGACAGATTCGAGAATCAGATGTGATTGTAGTTAGGATTTGGGCTGTCACTAGAGCTGTAGCATTCAAAATTAGACGTCGAATTTTCAGTACATCAGTAGGGTGATTTTCACCCTCCCACACACATCTCTGGTATCCAGACCGGAGTTTAAACTAGATTGGATACTTTGGGGGCCTCGGTAGGTCAAAGTTGTTCCCAGCTTGACCTGGAGATCAATCTTCTGAAATCTCTTCTGGTTGTCTGTTCCCGCCGAGAAGCCCGGTGGTTCTCTCCGAGTACTTCGGCTTCCTCCACCATAATAACAGACTTCCCGGTGTCCTACACGCTCCCTTGGGCGGTGTTTGGGTGGGGATTGTTCTGGTGGTGGGTTAATACTGTAAAGGACACATCTCCATTAATCCTTAGGGAGTGTACATGGATCCGCTGTACCCTTGCAGTCAATCAAGGGGTGCGTCTACACTGGCAGAATCTCGAAGTACATACAATCCACAACATGAACCTAGGTATACTTACCACACTCCTATGTGAAAGGAACTAGCAAACATGAGAGAAGAAATAGATAAACTTACAATACTGGTCATAGGTGAAAACTCCTCCTTTGTAGTAGAAAAGCTTCACAAAATCCACAAGTCATTTTGCTATAACGGCATCAGGTGAACATGTTCGAGGTGTATTTATTCAACCAGGTTTAATCCACAATTTTCTACATATGGAAATGCCTGTACCAAATCAGGAATATGACAGTTGTTTTCCATTCGTTTGATGTGTTTAAGCTTTTGATTTTGCCATTTGATAAGGGACTTTCCGTTTTGAATTTTGTTTGGAGTTCGGTATTTTTCTTTTTATGATAGCTGTGGTTGATCTTTATCATCTGCCACATGTTTGTTTGTAGCGACGATCTTGCTTGCTTGGATGTATGGACCAAACATTTGCTCCTGCATGTGCATTTAACAACATGAAAAGGTGAGTCAGAAGATACCTAGGGATATTCAAACTCATAAGTCGAAGATACGCTGATAACACACTGACAAAACAGAAAAACGACAAAAAAGTCTACAAAACACGACATAGAGCACTTGAGATCGAGCAACACGAAACCCACCAATAACCAGGGTGATCTCAGGTGCTCTGGAAGAGTGGGTAGATTCTGCTCCACATTTTGCAGCCGTCGTGTTGTTCATGCAAGTACAAATTCGTAAAAATGTCACATTCGAGGGGAAAGGACGGGATTGTGGCTACAACAATTGGAACATATCCGTCGTCATCTATGAAAAAGATTTCCCATAACGGTCAATCAACTCGTGATGATAATATTCCAGATCTAAATAGCCAGAGGAATTACTAGTTGCAAGTCCAAACTTATGTTATACCTGCCATGGAGGTATGGCATTCCAAATCTTCAAGCTGATGCATGACTCTACATAAGTCTTAATCAAATGAAGTTGTATCCTATATTAAAGAAAAATACGAAGAGTATGATTTCATAGCTGCTCCTATAGCATTTAAACAGAATGGACCACAAGAAAATGCTTGATCGATCTAGACTGAACAAGAACGACACGCAGAAACAAAGATAGGACGACCAATCGGTACAAAGCATGTATATCTTGATCCACCACCGAGTATAATTGTCACAGACACACACTTATGAGATTTAGGTCAACAAAGAAACTACAGCTGAATGGTTCCATATGGCTTATCTGAATGATGAGCAGTCCCAAATTAACCAATTCACAACTCAGTGGTGTGCAGAACATACATTTTAATACAAAAACTCAGAAATGACATCCTCAATTCACAATTTTCCTTCCTGCAGAAACTTGAGTGGGTAAATTACATGTAGCAAAAACTAAGTCCATAACCAAAACGAATTTTATAGACGGGTCAGGAATCAGATGAGATAGTAGTTAGGGTTTGGGCTTTCACCAGAGCTGTAGCATTCAACACCAGTAGAATTATTTGAAGCATCAGTAAGAGTTGGTGCTGTGACAGGAACAAGGAAACAATTCTGATTGGTATTGGCATGGGCAATCACAATACAAAAGGCACTTGAGAAACATTACCAACTCTTTTAGTCAGGTTAAATAGCCTTTTGCAAGTAATACATATGTATACTGCACTCAGTCATGTGAAGTCTCTTGATGAACTTTTATTTCTTTCTTGATATATTTAACCGGGGGCGCAAGAAATAACGGGCATAACAAGTGCAAAGAAAAAATGGAAAGAGAAAATACCAAGCAAACATGATAAAGACCCATTTGTATTGCTGAGCCTATCAAAAGCCAAGAAAGGATAAGTGTTCAGTTGCAGGTGGTGTAGGGGTTGCAAAATATTTAACATGAGGGTCTGGATGGGTGTCCTTCGTTTCTGTATTCTTTAATTTTTCAGGTAATTTTTCTCTCTATTCCTTGTAATTTTTTATCTTAAATCATTACTCTTTATATTTTGCACCCTATTAGTTTCTATTCTATATTTTTTTTTTTACCTATTTTGTCTTTTCTTTATAGTTTTGGCCCTTTGTCCTGCACTCTTACCTATTATTCTCTATTCAGTCAACCCCATCCAGACCCTCTAACATAGTTAAAGAATATCAAACATATGGAACACTGATAACAGTGAACAACAAACCAAGCAACTCATTGCATGATTTCTTAAAAGCTTAAGACAAACTGTTAAGTCAACAACAAACTGATTCCTTCACCACTGTGTTATGCTGGGAATTATTTTATGAATATATTCCAGATTTGATAAGATTACAGATTTATTAAAATAGATCGAATCTAGATTTATCCAATTCTAGATAGATATGAACAGACACTCCAAGATCTGGCAATGTAAATAATCAGAAATACGAGGAAGTTTTTATTCATATATGGTTATTTTAACAATATATAAATATATATACTATAATGATATATAGATGAACTATAATTTTTTATTCTTAAGATATATCTAAAATGAATCTTTGCAATTTCAACCTCTTATTTAAGGAATTGTTTGATTCCTGTGGATTCTTTCAATTTTAACACTTGATGATAATAAATAAACTCATCATAGATACATTGTTATTTTGTGCATATGTTATTTTGTGGTTTTGAAAAGTTCTGTACACATGCTCTTTGGAATTTTGTATAATGTTGAACTTTACCTATACCCACAAAGAAATAGAAGAAAGAGATGCAATATTACAAGTATTGTCAGACTAAAAAAATGAATAAGAAAAAAAAACAGAACTCAATCTTTGTTTTATTATCAATAATAATGTTCTCCCAACTGTATAGTATGTTATAGAGCAGAATTGAAAACTAGGATCTTGCTTTTTTTTAAAACTAAGGACCTTAGATCAGGAATACACATGTGATATTTGATTAAACCAAACTGAATTTGTAGTTAATTGGTCAATATCATCAATTAAATTTTCTGTAATTTGCAGAGATAGCAAATGAAGAGAAATATAACCATGACTTTTTCTGGTAAAATAAGGGCATAACTCAGTAATGGAACACCTATAAATCAGTTTGACATTGTGTTTAAGTAGTCTGCTACATATGGTGATATTAGAGAGAATAGTGTTACAATATTTAAGTTAATGAAAGTAAATTTGTTCAGATGGACTGAATAACCATATAAGGGTTCATTTGACAATATCTTCCACATGCATGGATATTTTTCTTTTGCATCAAATATCTAGTATTTGTTTAATTATCTTTAATCACCTAACAAACAAATGCCAATCATCAACAGAGGAAATAAAACTGCCAAAGGCTAGCTATGTTTATACATGTATATAAACTCATCATAGATACCTGGCTTAAAATTTTGTACACCACATGCGTGTTTCATCTACAAAAAACTCATCATTGACGCTTGAATAAAAAAAAGTTTAAAAGCCAAATAAAGTACAAAGTTAAAGCACATAATTCCAAAGGTTTTGCCTAATACAGTTAAGGTAATCTATTCTTGTGGTACAAAATCCTTAGTATAAAAAAAATTATAATTTTTGAAGCAGTTAATTTATAATTATGACCATATAAATGATAATTCGTGTCAACACAGAAGTGCTGACTACTGGACTGGTGACTTCATTGTCAGTTAATTAGAATATTTACATAAGCAAGTTACAATTAAATTGGAATGGCAGAAATACATTTATTATTTGAAAAGGCATTTTTTGCTTTCAGGGCAGGAGAGTAGGGTGTCCTTATATTTTGCACTGTTATTATTTTCTATGGCAGAGGGACGGATTTCCATAGAAAAAAGCTTAATTAGTTCAGCATTGAATGTAAGACAAATGGGAAGCAGTTGTGTTTCAACGTGTAAAAAATCAAAGCTTTACTTTCACACACACTTTATGCTACATCATTCATTTATTGTGTTTACATTCAAGATTTTCTTTCATAAAAATGATGGCTCACTATTGCAAAACTAATGAAGATTCATTTTGCCAAAAAACTTTGTATTTGAAATCCTACTATCTTCCACACTGATAAATCTTCTCAACTTCCTGCTATGAATGAATGACAGATCTCTCTCTTCGCTGGCAAGATAGAGATCAGTTAGAAAGCACCAAAGTTAGTAACATGCTTTGTTGGATGGACCACTACATTTTGTATGGTTACTGATGTCAGCTTTTGTCTTGTGCTGCAAGAAAATATTCACAAATTACGTTATAAGGTATTAATTATATCAAAGAAACTGATGATGGCTTCACTGCTTCAAGTCCTATATGCAAAAAATACAATAAACTCTGTAGACTATGATTAAAATAACAATGAAAAGGCAAAGGTGTTAAAGAAATAAATATGATGTTGAAATGTACAAACATTCAAAAGGTTGTATATAACAGCTTGAACTTGTGTAGTGAAGTTATCTGCATTTGAATTGATATCATATCATTTGTTTCCACATATTAAAGAAACAAAATAAATTAACTGAGACTGAAAAACAGTGTGAGAAAACGTCTGTAAAATTTTAAGCTATAAAAGTGTATAAATATCTTATGACTTGAAAAAATAAAGATACCGGTACAGTAAAACTTATTGCTCATGTTTACAGTTATAACAAATACATGTAATTACCTAAAATATGACTTAAAAGATAGATGGATAGTTCAGCAAATGAACACCTCATTAATCTAATCAGATATTTTACCTTGGCGTAAAAGATTTTGTCTCGCTTTAATAAACGCCATGATATCAGCATCAGCCTTGGCATCTCCTGTCATTGGTAAATTTCCTGAATCTGACCTACAACAATAAAAAAGTTCAATTAAGAAACACAAACAATCTGGTATTTACTGGTAATTGGTGTTTTGTTTAGCCATATTTGATTTGGCAAGAGAAAGTTTTATAAAAAAAAATATTTAACAAAGAATCTTATTTACTCTATATGGTATGTTGTTCAAATACTTCAAATAATTCTAAGAAATAAGAATTAATTTAATAATCTTAAAATATTCAAACCAGCAAAAGACATCTAAAGATTAACATACATTCCTCAAGAGCAGATATTGACAATATGTAAAGCCCTTAATCATCCTGAGTCTACACAAGTAGTGAATAATTTAAACGGAGTCTATCTGCTATCTACATCAAATTTCTTTTAGGACATAAAAGTCTATTAACATGTGTTGTGGTCAAATTAGTTAACTGCTCATATTTTCAGAAAGCTACCCAACAAACCTAAATCCATACCTTGATTTTGGAAGGCCAAGCGGTCTTCTCTGTCCTGTATCATATTGTTTTCTGTTATCAGTATCTACTGTATCATATTGCTTTCTACTATTGGACTCATAAGGGCTTCTCTGAGATGGATCAAATGATTTCCTGCCATCCATACTGAATTGCTGTGTTGACTGGATTCCATTTTGAACTGACTGTTTCCTACCATCTGCTGCATACTGTTGTGATGACTGGACACCATTTGGAACTGACTTGTTTGGTGTTGGTGTTCTCCAGGCTGATTTCTGTTCCTTTTGTTGTCTATAGCTGTTATTGTTCTGAAATATAAAGCTTAAATTTTGACTTCCATTTTATTTAGGATCTTATTTTGTATCCATTAAACATGATTAAACAAATGTAAATCTTTGGTTTATCTTAAGTTGTCTTATTCAGGGCCTAATCTAGGATTTTGGAGAGGGAGAAGTGACTTCTCCTTCCATGAGAGAGAAGGGAGAAGTGGTCAATTTCTTGGAGAAGTGAGATTCTTTTACCCTTTCGGTTGCATAGTGTTCTCGTGCTTATCACTAAGGAAATTGTTTTATATGCAATAAAAAATATACTTGCAGTTTTTTCATGTTATTGTACAAAATGTATATATAGAAAGTTCTTAATAAAAAGATTTAGACAATATAGTTGTTATTTATTCATTGATACCATTTGTACTGTCAACTTGAATTGAGGTTTAAATAAAATTTGTTGATTGGGACATGAGGGAGTAATATTATGATGCATTAAATTCATGTGCATCTGCCCTCAGCATCTGCCTCAATTTATTTTTAAATGTCCAGAAAAATATGACTCCCAGTTTACCTGCTGAATTTCACATGACTGGGAATTTAATTTATATCACCACTTGTCATTATTTTGTAAAACATTATTGAATGTCCAGGACAATCCGACATCATGTTACATGTAGTTGTAAATTGAGATTCTCGTTAAAGATTGTAAGCTTATAAATGAAAATATCTGTCAATCACATAGTAATTAACCGATACAGAGCTAATTTCTATCATTTTTTAAAGATATCTTCCCTATCAACGAAATGGTCGTGAAAAAAAAATCCACTGCTGATCACAGCTGGTCGAGTGTCGTACGTTTGCATTCACATTATCCATCAGCTGTCTTTCTACCTTTTATATTTCAATTTTTATTCAATGAATATAATAAATCTACCGTTAATTCCCACCCTTACCCCACCGAATAGTACAATTTGATCGACTCGTAATAAATAAAAATAAAACAAATCAGCTGAGTGATTACATTGAACATTACGCAACATCCTCAGATAAAAATCATCGTAAAATGATAACTTTAACAGACGGTCAGTTTTCCGTTTGAATAGTTTTGAATGTTATATCCAAGGATGTTCAAAGTCGCCGTTGTATTTATTTAATTTGATCGTCGACAGTATTAGTCCTGGGTCGTTTCGAAAATCTCGATTTTCCTTGTTAGTCGCCATTTTTTTTTACCTGGGAGACTTGTAATTCACAAGTTGTCTCCCTTTTACCGATTTTCATAGCGATTTGACTTCGCCATGAAGTCAGTCGGCTGGCGAGATTTAGCGATTTTCAAAATTCTTTGGCGACTTAAATCGTCATTTCGCCGGCAAGATTATGGCCTGGTCTTATTAATAAAGATGGAAAATATTACATAGAATTTATATATGACAAAAGGAGATGTGGTGTATATGTCAATGAGACAGCAACCTAATTACAAAAATAACCCAAAGACATCTAAAGAGCAACATACAGTCTTCAATAACAGACAGATGTCTATATGTCTATCATAGCTCTATTTTAGTAACCTTTGTGAATCAATCAAGGCTGAAGCAGTTCGACAAGATTGTCAATTATGGCATTTCATGATCAATTTCAATCAGTTTCTAAGAACTAAAATATAATGGGTGTTTTTATCATTATTGCTCTCAATGTATTTTAAAATCCTGTATGGCTTGTTAAGCACATAGAGTTGAAAGGACTTTCTGAAGCGTAGTAAAAATTTTATAAGTTGTGGCCTTTTATAGCTTACCATACAGTATGGGTTTGTTGTGGGTGTTGCAGCGACCTATGGTTGCTTACATCCTAATCATAATCATTTGGACTCAGGTGGATAGTTGTCACATTTGCAATTATTCCACATCTCCTTCTTTTTATTTAAAGAGCTTTTTATGTTAGTTTTTGGATTTTATCAACTAGTTGCTATCTTTAAACAAGTCAGGTAATTTTGTTACATTGGTAAATCTGTTCTTTTGTTAAATTAACAAATTTACAGGACAAATGAATATCTACCATAAAAGTACACAACACCACTCAGTGTTCTCCCCAGGATTTTTGGATAGCACCCGGGTAATGCGTGTGGACAGATTGGTGAAATGATTCATACAATCAGTTGTGTCAAGTCGCGTCGCTTAGCTATATTTCTAGTTACTGCAGTATGTCTCTTGTTTTGTTTTAACACTGTGGTACTGTGTTATGTAGACATTGAGTCAGAAAATTATTGATAAAAAAAGAAGTAAATCAATAAACAGTTTGTGTACTTTAATATTTTTTTTAAATAAATAAAACATGATTCATTACAAAATATTCATCTAAATTTAAAGTAATCAAATCTTTTATAAAATCCATGATCAATAAAAATAAAATATCATTCAAAGAAGACCAAAAATGTTCAATTTAAATTTTTTTTTATAGTTTCTAGAAAAAAAGTTGTATGTGAAAGGATTCTTGTCATAAGGAGATATAAAATAACAAGAAAAAATATTGATTTATTGTTTGAACCAGTTTCTATCTTAAATTTAAAAAAAAAAGAAATTTTTCCTAAATTTAAAAACATTTTGCCATAGATTTCATGTGAATATTAACCTTTCTTGTCTTTGGTGATAATCAAACATTGATACAGACTTAATACTGCACTGAAATCTAAATCTTTATTTGTCATGATCCATTTAAAAAGAATTCCTAAATCTATAAATTTATCTTAGGTCTATAAGTAACCATATTCAATGTCAACAACAAAGTCTCCCTATTTCCCCCCCCCCCCCCCCCAAATGACAGAAAGTAGATATAAATAGATTTAACATGTGCTTATGGATAAAATTTGCAAGATTACTTCTGTTATTCATTAATTGTGGATATAGATATCCAGTTTGAAGGTACAGTCATGCATTTTATTTATTAAATAGAATAGATTGCAATTAATTGCAAATAAACTTTAATATTCTACGTGAACTAACTGGGTCATGTGATATGTACAGATGTCCATCCCCTTCACAGATACTATAGTATCATGCACTAACTATGTCATAATTAAAGACAATTTTGGCCATGGTTTAATCAGACATATTATACTTATACTAATGAGCCAACTTTATTATGTACAAAAAATGTACAGGCGTGTGTGCAACTATCGGGTTCACACTGTTTGTGTACAAAGTATTTGCAGACTTGTCACAGGTCAGTGCTTGGGTTGTGAGTGAAGCCATAAAATAGTTATCAGTGATCAAAAAGTTATGAACTCCTAATTAAAACACAAAAGAATAATGTAACAAGTGTTAATTACATCGAATTAATCCAATCAAAAAGGTTAACCTCGGAAGGTAAATCGATCACGCGGTGTCAACAATCTGGGTAAACTGGTTTGAACTGGTCAAATTTCACCTGGAATTTTATACCGCACGGAAAAGATTTAACAAATCGCTTAAAACTACCGATTTACGATTTTTTTTACTGAAAATCTTAGCACCACGGTAAAAAATTATACATCGCGGTAAGACCGATACCACCACAGTCAAAAATTATACATCACAGGCACGCAGTCCTTTAAGGGCCTGGGGAGAACACTGCCACTATAGGATACAATACCAGTTGGTGATTTGTCCAATTGTTATTTAGAGTTTTACTTACTTGTTGTAAATTAACTTGTTCTGCCCACCACATCTCAAAATCTTTCATTAACTTCACTTTTGACTTTTCTAACAAATGTTGTAAATGTTCTATTTCTGTCTTTAATGTTCTAAGTCTAGTAAAACATTCCTTGTAACTGTAAAATAGAAAAGTATCTGTTAAAGTTTCATTGATTATTGTTGTTTCTTTTACATCCAGTGGCAAATTTTTCATAAACATCACTTTTGAGAAAACACACACCCAATATGTTGTACATTAATACAGCTTTCCCGATACAGCACAAAGAAACTCTCTTGTGTAAATTAATTTTCTTGCTATTTAGATTTATGTGGTTAAAAAATCATGTTGTACAGAAAACATCCATTAAACCAGTAGAACATAGATACAGAACTTTTGTTTTACTGAAAAATCCAATAAAGTTTATCATTTGTTTGCTGTTGTAGAAACATTCATTTAAAGATAATTCTGCATTTCTCAATGACTTTTAACTCATCTTCACTTCCAATTTTAATGTTGAAATCTTCTTGTTAATTTCAAGCCCTTAAAACTATACTTCAATATCCAATGCAGTACAAATATACTAATTAAATAGAATCATTTAATAAAAGTAATTTACATGTGAAATAAAAAGCAAAAGATATAAGATTGTATCTCACTTCATTTTTTCCTCTTCCATCTCATTTCTCATTTCTTGTTCTTCTTCATCTGGTTCAGCATCTTCTGGATCAACAAGACCTATAAATATTGAAGAAAACATATCCTTGATTTTCTGTCTTCAAACCAAAATTTACTTATTTACATGCTGTAGTTTCATTATATTTTATGATTTTAGCAAAAGTTACTTGACTTTGTGCTTTAATCAGCATCATCAATTATTAATATCTTGTCAGAAGATAATTAACCCTGTGAAATGTTGCTACCCTTGAAACCCACAGATAGATGAATCTCACGAAGGAACCATGAAAATCCTACACATCATGAATTCATGGTTATGCACAATGAGCTGAAATCAATATAAAATAATATTTTCAAAAAGTTAAAAGATATAATAGAGTAAATTATTTTTGTTTAATTATTATCCCCCCTTTTTCTTATGGTAAAAATTCTATATAGGTAACCAACTATTTTACAAGATTGCAAATTGACAGAATACATATTTTTACATTTTGATAAAAAAAAAAGTTATATTTTTTATATCATTGAAATAAATTCTCTTCTGATATATCAATTACAATAACTGCTATTCAATTATAATAATTGTAAACTATATTTCTTTGGCAAAAAAAGTTTGTTGCACAAACCTCAACCCCCCTGCTCTTTTCTATGAAAAGATTTGAAAAGTAGGATATGTAAGTTATTTGTAGCTGTAACAGCAACACAATAAAAGACATTTCATAGTTTGTCTACATACCTCTCATTGCTAACTGCATCCTGTACTGTTCTATCTGGGATTTAACATGATCTGTAAAAAAAACAAAACATAACATAAAAATAAAATAAAATATATTATATTTTATAAATAATTTTTTACAATTATATAAAACATTATTTTTGATAATTTTACTCTCATAAAAGATTAACATATCATAATCAGATTAAGTCTCAAAAGATGAAATAAAATTAAAAAAATACTTAGTTGAATCTTTTTATCCATTGCTAAAACTATTTGATACTTATGAAAAGGAGATGTGGGGTATGTCAATGAGACAACAATCCAACAACAGGAAAAACCCAAAAGAGATCTTTACTAATTTTATAATACTTACTTATTTTTGTCCTAGATTTGTTGACATATTCTCCCAATTTTTTGGCTTCCACATATTTCTGTTTTAGTGCATCTTTATTGTCTTCAATGGCTGAATTTTGTGGATAGTCTCTTTTAAATGTCTCAAATGCTTCCTGTCTTCCTGTGGACATGTCTCCCACTGAAAGATATATTTGCAGAAAGATGAAATATATTCTATTATTCATAGTTAATTGATTATTGTGAAGAAATCCAACACAGTTAATCAAAATCAGTTAAGGTCACATGAAATTAATTTTTTTATTTTAATTTGTCTCCTCTTCATTGGTTTAGCTTTGCTTCAGTTTCATATTTCATAATTTCAAATACTTCTAATTAACCCTAAAAATCTGGTGAAACTCAGAAAAGAAAATTCCCCTTTTCCCATAATTTTGTACACTGATAATGTGAATATAGCAATTTAATATGATGTGGCTGTTTCTAATGGTGTGAACATCATAATAACTTTGACAAAACTAACTGTCATGACTTAAATGAAAGAAAAAGTTTTTTTCTTCCAAACCTGTGATTCTTTTATATTTTTGAGAAGGCAATGTGTTTGGTTTTATAGCTTTACACATACAAGACTATTCATTACACCTGACCATATGTTTGCCGTTTTAACATTAAATATTCAGGAACTGAACAATGGATCTGCCAACACCTTTCCTTAATCAAAGATATATACTAGTTAATTAAAAACAGTAATTTGCCTTGTATTGATTATTTCAAAAAGCAGATAAAGAATAAAGGGTCTTTAAGGGCACTTTCATACCCTCGTGTTAGTGAAAATTATAAATCTGTTCTGATGAAACAAAGTTAATATATAAGAAAAATTTAAGATTACACTACTTTGGAAAGAAAATAATCAGTTTCAATGATAATTTTGTAAAACGGTTTTTATTGTGGAGCAAAAAATTATTTAATTAATATGAAATGTATATTTGTATGGTATTGAAATGGTAAAAATATTCAATTGGTTTATGCTCCCTAAAATCTTTGTTTATCTGTAAAATAACTAGCACAACATTATGTAAAGTCAGCATTTTTAGTGTAATACACTGGATTGTGTTGTTTATGACATAAAAAATGAGAAAATTTAGTAATATAATTTAAATTCTGCATTCTATTTATCAGATCAAATATAACAAAACCAGCACATTTACTGAATAAACAGATATATATATATTCTTATACTGTTATATCAAATAAATCAGATTCAAAGTTTCTTTTAATTCATTTTTCCGGAATCTAAAAAAATCTGGGTAAATAAAGGCTAATTTCAAAATGTAAAATATTGGTTGAAAAGATCCCAAACAATGGATATTCAACCAATGGTATACTTTATTTCAATTTCATGTACATGTACTATCAAGAAATTAACTTGCATTTTATTTTAATTCTGAAATGGCAAACTGATACAACAGGGCAAAATTCTCTGTGTAGTGTAAAATCAAATACAAAACTTTATTGGTCTATCAAAGATTGGAAACTAAAGTGCCAATAATATATTCCTAGAAATACAATACAATATTAAACATATCTGTTTTTGGTTCATACATGTATAAACTTTTTGGTTGCCATGACACTCACCAATGAAATAAGCCATAACATACAACATTGGATATATCTTTGTACTTACATATCTTTGTTTTTGTTTGTTCATCAAAACTGGTACTACTACTGTTACGTTTATTAGCACTGAGACTTTCTGCTGTGTTCATTCTACTTCCACGATTTCTTCGACCACTGGAGGGACGACTGTTGTCTTCGAAGGATTTCATTCGACCAAAACTTTCTACTTCTGCCATTGCATCTGCTGATCTTTTCTTCTCTTTCTTTAACATTCCTACTAAGATATCTTTATAACTGTCAAGGAAGAAAATTCTTACAATTCTAAACTTCATTGATACGAATAACAGGAGAGTTAAAAGGCAAAAATGATCATTTTACACATATTATTAGTATGTCAGACAGTCAGACATTAAGGTCAAAACTGAGACAAAAATAAATGACTTACAAATTTCCAATATTTAGAACAATAATTGATTTAACTTATAAAAAAAAAACTGAAGGTGCCTTTGTTCTTCTTACTAAGAAAGCTCTAAAACATATCTATCTGATTTTACAAAAGATATAAAGAAACATCAGACCTTATATGTGTCCTACAGTGATTGAAGAAAATATCTTTTTATGGTTACAACTTTAATTTTCAAGAAAATTGAATAGAGATATTCGATGTGAGCAGTGCTTTTATTTATCACACACAAATCATGTGTTACCATTAATCTGGGAAAAAATGAAGAATTGTTCATTGAAGTCAAATATTCAAAAGTTTATTCAGCTTTTTAATGCTACATCATAAACTTTCAAAGAAGCGAAGACATCAAATAATATAAAAATAAGGAGATGTTGAATGATTGCCTATGAGACAAACTCACCAGAGTTCAAATGACGAAGATATAAGCAATTATATGTCACTGAACAGCCTACCACTGATCACCAAATGTCATTGTATTAATATATATGACTTGTTATCAAATTTAAATAATGACATCCTAGAAAATATCTTTATATATTTAGAAACCCAAAACCACAAAAAAAAAAAAAAAAAAATTTATTAGTGAGCTTGCCTAAACAACATTTCTATATATACCTTTCTATGATAAATTCACACTGCTGGAAATCATAATTCTGTATTACAGATTAATAAAATAGAAATAACTTTGTGTATTAAAGGATACTGATTTCATTATCTCTCTGTAGAATAAGCTCTTTCAATCTGCTGTTTTCAGAATCTCTATAAGGGCCGGTATCAACATCTGTGTAGGATGGGGATTTATGCTGAGCTTCCACTTCAACAACCTTTGGTTTTTCTTGTACCATTTGCTAAGTAGAAATTAAAATTTGGTTAATGATTTGAAAAGCAAAGTTGAATTACAAAAATACTTTGTAAATGAAACAAAGTTTGATCATCTTCCACCCCATTAAATCATGGAACAGTCCTTATTTGAATATGAAAATGATTTGGTTTCTGATATGTTGTTATGCTCCTTAACAAATGGAAAAGTTGCTTGAATTTTTTGTTTACGATCTCTAACTATAGTTTCTCTCAACCAAATGTTATGAATCTTGTACACAATGCTCATTATCACAAAACACTGATTAAATTGAAGAATAAATTACACAATTATTATACTGTGGAATTTTCTAGGGTACCATTTTTCGTGGATTGCGGAAAAATCATAGTTTAGTGCATATTTAATTTTGTGGTTTTTCTAAAGTCTGCATACAAGCCTATAGACAATTTGTACTTGGTTGAACATTTAAATTTGTGGTTCACATTTATTCATGAAATTTGTGAAAATTGGTATCCCGTGAATAATAATGAATCCACAGTAGTTAAAAGAAATCATGTCATTAATTTCACTACATAAATGAACCATCTCTACTGGAATTCAGCGGTTAGACCTGGGTTAAGGGAGAAAACTCTTTAAATCAGTAATGTATTTTCATCAATGATTTTTAAATACTCCTGTTAAACAAAAGTAAAATAATCAATATTATCCAGAAGCTTAGAATATATCTATTAAAATGGTTGACACAAACATACCAGTGATTTTGATGAGTTATGTCACTTTACAATGTGCTGACTCTGTATATCAACTCATCATAGATACCAGGATTAAGATTAAAATTTTTGTACGCCAGGCATATATATATATATTTACCTTGAGGAGGGAATAACAATACTGGATCTTCCTCATATCAGCACCAATGTCTAACGTTGATTCTTTATCATTGTCTGCTAAATAGTTGTCGACTGCATATTTACATCTGAAAATAGAAAAAATAAGCCTCAAGGATCTACAGTAAGTAAGTAATTTTTATAGAAATAAAGTCCAAACATTGAACCATCATCAATTACAAAATGAACATATACTCATTACAATTGAGACAACTGTCATTTTGCATTACCAAATATTTTAGTGCAACTTTAACTATGGCTACAATAATTATCCATACTAAGGTTTAACTGCAAAGTGATTTTTATGAAATTATGAAATAATGGTAAGTATTCATGGTTATTGTATCTCATGACATAAAACTTTACAAATTCAACTCATCTTTTTGAGCCTTCAATATGACAAAAAAGAGGTATATTTTCTACCTAAAAAGCCTTTAACAGGTTGAGGAACCAGAGGGTACTGCTTCTAAGTGCATTGTGTCAAAAATTAATACACTAGTGCATACTTTTCTATTACTTCAAAATTATTCAGAAGTCAGTTTACAGTACATCATTTTATACTAAGATGCCAAAATTTGTTTTTACATGTTATCTAATGCATTTAATAGCAACTTTTAAAATATCTTTTTGGGGTAATAAATCTGTCTATAACTCAAAATGGATCCAGGGGAGACAACCACAATATATACCTGCTTATTTCCTCTTCAGTGAGATTATCTGTTCTTTGTTCACCAGTAGCCATTGCTAATTCCTCTTTTAACTGTTGAACCTCTCTTTTTAATCTTGCTATCAATAATTTTGGATCAAGTTCTTCATTGACCATGACATCATTCTTTATCATTGCAACTCTTTGTGCAAAACGACAAGTTGAAATTGTCTCCTGTTTTAAGAGAAAAGAAAACCATTTAATTTTATTACATAAACACTAATGTTATTTTATACAATATTCTTTTCAAAACTCTAATATAACACATTATAATTACAAACAAGTGAATCTGTGAGCTACTGCTCACTAATGATACCCCCGCCCGCTAAAGTATAAGGTAAACAGGAAGTTGTTGAGTGATGAATCTGAAAACGCATCACACAGTATAGGTGACTCATATTTTGGGTATTGACCTAAATATATGTAAAAATTTAGGCAAAAATAAATTAAAAAATTTACTGAAAAAACAGCTCAAATTAAATTTTCAAAATGATTGGGAGAAAATTCGAGATTTTTATTTACAGAATCAAGGCAAATTGGACGCTTATTTTTCATTCAAGAGGTCATTTGACTATGAAAATTATTTAGATTTAAAGCACCCCCAAAAACCTTTGTTAACAAAATACAGACTCAGCAATCACTGTATAAGAATAGAAACTGGCAGACATGAACGATTTATCAATGTATGTGGTAAATATGAAATATTACCTGACATGAGAGGTTGTTTATATTGTAATTCAAATTCTATTGAAAATGAAATGCACTTTCTTCTGGAATGCCCTCTTTACAATAACCTCAGAAGAGATATGACTGATTATATAAAAAAATACCCCAGTTTAGTTAATTTAAACAGAAATGATCTCTTTACATGGATCATGAGTAATGAAGATAGCAGTTTTTTTATCTATTTTATGTGCATACCTTGATAAAGGCCTGCAACTTAGAAAATCAGAAAATTAGTTATATACTCTAATAGATAGCAAAATTATCTCCCCTTGACCACTGACCCTTTCCTCATGCATTTGTACTATTATTTTATGTTTCTTTAATCACTCTGTAATGTTTATGTCATGTTGTTATTAATGTTATGCTCTTAATGGGCCCTTTAATTTGGAAATAAAAAAATATAAACCCTGAAACCAAATTTCAGAAATCCTTGATACGTAGTTCCTGAGAAAGATGCAACGAAAAATATTCATGGGGCGGACGGACGGATGGACTGACGGATGGATGGACGGACGGACAGACAGGGGTAAAACAGTATACCCCAACTTTTTTAAAGCAAGGGTATAATAATTATATGGAAAACAAAATATTTTGTTATATTTTTTCTGAATATTATTTCAAATAATCCATATGGCTGAAAAAAGAAAAACATATATATATAATACATTCCTACTTAAGGCACTGTATCTTTGATATTTGATTTCTTCCAAGTGAGAAAAAAAACAAAAATAAATTTTATGACTACTTTAGAAATAAACACAACTGAGAGTGTAAAGAGCCTTTTCCATTTTTAATGATTATCTTCTTCAGAAATAGACAACTCACATGAAACTGTAGCTTAAGTGACATCTGATCACTAATATAATAATTTAAGAAAATTCCCCAAAAAATCATGTTATCCCAATAAAAAATATACCTCAGTCTACTTACATCAACATTTTTCTTTTCAACAGAACATGTGGCTATCATAGTTGTCATACAATTACCACCCAGACTGTCCCGTATTACTGACGTCATCATAGAATTCCTGTACGGGATGTGTTGACGACTCTTATCTGCTAATGCTATTATCACCTGCAAAAGAAATAAAATCTTCATGGTGAATGAGGTGAAAACTTGACCATATGGACCCTACTATTTATGACGCCAAGGAACAAGGTTAATTCAATACCAATTTTGTCCTTTTAAAGACTAAGAATCAGCAGTGTACGAGCAAAAATCTTCAAATGTTTTCATGACTCACTCTAAATGCAGGTTTAATTTATTAATTGCTCTATTCCATCAACAACAACAAAATACTTTTAAAGGATATTTCACACTTTTATTTTTTATTTTTGCAGTGAATTTATTTGAATATTAAGACCACAGTTCAGAAGTTATACAAAGTATATGTTAAGTTAAAGATTGTTCTATTGTTTACAGGCGTTCCCTCTTTACTTCTGCAAACAGCCTGCAAAAATATGTCATTTGTATGAAAGTTTTTTTTTATTATTGCTGCAAAATAAAAAACACAACTTTCTTTAAAGAGTTTTGGCCAAAAATTAATTCAATACAAGAAGTTCTACACAAGTTTCCTTAAATCTGAAATAATATAATTTACCTTGATCCATATAATTTTGATATTCATAAGCCCTTTTTTAAATATTTCATTTGAATATTTACCTGTTCTAAAAAATGTAATGATAGGTTGATATATTTAGCTTCCTTGAGTAATACTCCATTAACACCAGTCTTTGATACCCTCTCAGATCTAAAATCAAAATTCTAATAATTATCACTCACAACTACACTATTTCTCACATTTTTATGCCCCCGCGACAAAATGTGGAGGGGCATAATAATTTACCCCTGTCTGTCCGTCCATCCTGATATAGATACATGATATGTCTGGCTATCTCCTCTACAGTTTTTGAGCTACAGCTTTAATATTTTGTAGGTTGTTTGTACACATAATGGAAGTGTGCATGTCCACAGAATTTTGATTTTTTTCAAATATTCTCAAAATGCCAGGTATTTGGACTTAGTCAGATTTTTGTACTCAGAATAAAAATAACAGATAGATCATCATACATAGTGTTAAATTTATAATTTCTAATGGTCAGGCCGGGACATCATTTGTGTCTTACAGACAGTGCAACAATTTCAAGTTGTACTTCAAAATCACTGTTTGTCGAATCTAAAGTATGTGGAACTATACTCATGCATATGGCAGAGCAGAGGGGGGCATCAGCCATATCTAGTTATTTTTTATTCTCTGTGTGGTTTAGGTAGAAAATCAAGATCACTGATTTACACATCAGAACTTATACAAAAAATAAGTCCAAGTAAAAAAGATAGTTCTATTTTTCAATTATGAATAGTACATAATTTTTTTTAATTTAGAATGCAGTAATTTTCAACTTATTCAGATTTATTACTGATATTTTTAAAACAGCTCTCTATAAAATTATAACAGAATTTCCTTGCAGTTAGCATGTCTTAGCTTTTTGATGAAATAATATCAGATTTTTTTTTTTAGTATTTATATATATATACACTGAGCTAATTCAAATTCTTATCTTCTGAAGTCTTATGGGATATGTAGAGACAACATAAATTTGCACACATTTATGGACAGACTGCATAACAATATCATCCTCCTTCCTCCATCAACAGTTAGGTAATACAGTATAGCAGGTTAATTTCAGGGGGTGTTTATTTTCACTTATTTTGGCAAATAAATGAATTCTGTGAAAATAAATTCCAGGAAAAATTTATGCATTCGTTTGTTACTTTCTACTAGCTAAAGCGGTTTACATAAGAGTGTAAGGTACTCTGTCAGGTATTTGACCTTTATTAAAAGTATTAAATTATATAAGAGTTGTAAGTCACTCTTGATAATTTTATAACCTCAAAGTACATCAAAGATCCAGTCAATTTCGTAACTAATCAACCATAACAATTCAATAAGATTGTACATCTGTGACAAATATCTAAGTTACCAGTATTCTATTGATTATCTGCATCCGAATATAATCAATAAATTAGATGTCATTCAGGGGAAAAGATCATTTAACCATAACAATAGACAATTATTTGATTGAATGACAATAAAGATACTCGCTCACAATTTGATTTTATCTTTTAATTTCTTGTATTTATATAGAACTACAGCAAAGATATATAGACACAGTTTTCTTCCTGTCTACTTTTTACTTTTATTATTGCCAATTAATACTGTCTTTTTTATGGTATTGGTATTATTTTTTCACCATTTCATAGTTATCATGAAAATAGTAAAATTACTATATTTCCAGTCATTTATTTATAAACATTTTCAGTTGTCATAGTTCCGTAACTTTTTAGATCATTCAGGATTTTGATGTTAAATTCATTCACAGCTTGTTAAGACTCAAAGCAATTCAGAACTTGACATCTGGACACTTGTCTATCATTGAAGACCCAATGATGAAATCTGGATGTTTTTTTTTCTTTTTTGATCTTGCTGTTGGATCTATAATGCTTTCACAACATCTGCCTGTCATAAAAACAAAGCAATACTTTTACACTGATAGTAAGTAATGGAATTTACATTGAGGTTCTGCAAAAGGAAATCACAAATTCACCAACATTCCAACTGACTTCATTTTCAGAAAACGATATCTGTAACAAACATAAACTATTAGCTACTTCTTTACAAGCAGAACCAAATACAATGAAAGTCCCAACTATGTACTGGCTTCCGAAGCTACACAAATCACCTTACAAATATAGATTTATTTCGTCTTCAAGTCATTGTTCCACTACTAAATTGTCTATTCTACTTACTAGTACACTTGGTACAATCAAAAACCTGATAATAAATTGTTCAAATAAGGCCTTTGAAAATAGTGGAATTAACTACTTTTGGAGTGTCAAATACTCGTTGGAAGTACTTGATAAATTGCATGCATATATTGGTGATTTTGAATCTGTTCAAAGTTTTGATTTTTCTACCCTATATACCACTTTGCCTCATATTCTTATTAAGAAAAAATTCACACACCTAATTAAACAGGCATTTAAAAAGTCGGAATGCGAATACATATGTTCAAACTCTTTTAGGTCATTTTTTAGTAGCAACAAACAAAAGAGCTATGTCAATTGGACATGCTTTGATACTATATCTGCCCTTGAATTTTTACTTGATAACATTTGTGTTCGCTTTGGAGATTCCGTATATCGTCAAGTTAATGGAATTCCAATGGGGACTAACTGTGCACCACTTATTGCAGACCTGTTTTTGTATTGTTATGAGTTACAATTTATGACTAAAATCAGCAAAGACCCATCGAAACAACATCTGATACAAAAATTTAACAATACTTTTAGATATTTGGATGATATATTGGCTCTCAATAATGACAACTTCAGTATGTATACTAAAGAAATTTATCCTGTTGAACTTACTTTAAATAAAGCTAATACTAACAATGACCACTGTCCTTTCCTCGATCTTGATATCTATATCATTAACGGGAAGCTTAATACAAAAGTTTATGATAAAAGAGATGATTTTTCATTTCCTATCGTTAATTATCCATTTTTAGATGGTAACGTTCCCTTGTCACCATCTTATGGTGTTTATATATCTCAACTTGTACGATTCGCTCGTGTATGTAACAACGTATTAGATTTTAGCGAGAGAAATTTGTATATTACTGAAAAATTATTACACCAGGGTTTTCGATATCATAAACTAGTCAAAACATTTACTAAATTTTATCATCAGTATAAGGACATCATTCGTAAATATAACTCAACATGCAGACATCTTATACGTTCGAGTATTTCACATCCAATCTTTTATGGTAATATTCTTTACAAAGCACAAAAATGTCAGTATTCACCTCAAAAGCTAACAAAACCTTTAAACAGACTTATTAAGAAGGGATATAGTTACGATACTGTTGTCAGGTCATTAAAGATTGCATATTTTGGCTTTAATACTGATTCACTTATAGGGTCTTTGCATCGGAATTAAACATATTTATTCTAAAACCAGTTGTTGGCATGACACGGGTTATGTTCTTCTCATATATTTTATGACGGTATAATACTAAACCCCTAACAGGAGGGATTGTGCCTGATATTCATATGATGAAGACATAATCTTTCAATCAGTTTAATTGAGGTCTGGAGCTGGCATGTCAGTAACTGCTAGTAGTCTGTTGTTATTTATGTATTATTGTCATTTTGTTTATTTTCTTTTGTTTCCTATTCTGACATCGAACTCTGACTTCTCTTGAACTGAGTTTTACTGTGCGTACTGTTGTACGTTTGTTTTTTCTACATTGGCTAGAGGTATAGGGGGAGGGTTGAGATCTCAAAAAACATGTTTAACCCCGCCGCATTTTTGAGCCTGTTCCAAGTCAGGAGCCTCTGGCCTTTGTTAGTCTTGTATCATTTTAATTTTAATTTCTTGTGTATAATTTGGAGTTTAGTATGACGTCCATTATCACTGAACTAGTATACATATTTGTTTAGGGGCCAGCTGAAGGACGCCTCCGGGTGCGGGAGTTTCTCGCTGCATTGAAGACCCATTGGTGGCCTTCGGCTGTTGTCTGCTCTATGGTCGGGTTGTTGTCTCTTTGACACATTCCCCATTTCCATTCTCAATTTTACCTATGAATATTACAACAAAGTTTAAGTGTTACCCTGCCAGATCCACTAGATGGAGCTTTGATCTTCTGATTGTAGCTGATCCAGTCTCTGTAGAAGTCAGATGGACGGTAAATATACAATGTGATCTTGTAGAGGCTTGATTCATAGGTGTCTGTAAATAAGATCATACAAACACTTTACAACAGAAATTATGGAACAGAGAATCAGGACAATTTTGTTATTCGTAAGAACTTAATTTTTGTTACTATTTATAACTTTAATTTGTAGATAGGGAAGTGGGCACTTATTCCAACTTAATTCCTCCTCTTACTTCAACTTCTGATTCATTGCACTCCTCATTATTGCTCTCTCCTTTCCAGCTCCTACCATGACCATAATAAATCAATGTTTTGTTTAATAGTACCTCCCTACAAAGACCAAAAGTATCTGGTTTTTTTTACAATAATGTTATTAATGTACTGAATTTCACCAAACATTTTGTACTGTAAGAGAGCAACTGATACTTGGAGTTACAGGGCCTTTACATACATAGTCTGATAATTAAATAATTTTTTGATCAATGAAAAAAAATTTATCAGACCAAACATAAGATAGTGTCCAATTTACCTTCAGAATGACTGCAGTATAAATTACCTAGCTGCAGGTTTGGTTATGTTAAATATTTACAGAAAAGTAACAGGCAATTACCTTTTTCACTAATTACTATTAACAACAGATAAGATTGTTTTACCCTTACCATGCTTACCTTCTGCATTATGCTTTTATGATCTAGCATACAGCTTAGGGTAGATGTTTGCATTAATGTCAGGAAAATTCATATGGAACTTAGGTAACTATTGCAACATACCTCTGCAATCATTCTGTTGGTATCTCCAAGGAAGAGTAAATTCAATGCTTCCTCTTCGCTGTTTGCAGGATGAACAGACAAATTCTTTAAATGAATATTCTGGTCTGTATCCTCCATTAAACTAACTTTCCTACACACAAAAAAGGTTCCATTTAATATACTGTCAACAGACATGATTAATATGTTAACCAATAAATAATTATAATAATATATGTATTTTGTGGGTCTGAAGTGGTTTTCTTGATTTACCTTCATATAAACAATCTTGCAATTTTTTTTTTTATCAAACTTTTATTTTTTTACAGGACAGTTTTGAAGCATCATAGAGTGCTCAGGGGGAAGTAAATCAAATGTAAAGTTACCACAATAAAGCAGTTGTGGATTTCCCTTCATCTTCTTTTATTCATATGTTAAATAATTAGTCATATGATTATCCTACTTAAGATTTCATTTGGATTGCTTATTGAATTTGTGAGAACAGGTCAGAATACCCATATAACATTGATAAATAAAATTCAAGGGCAAAAATAATGTTGTCTGTATTAACACAAGCAGTGGTCCATAAGTATAGTAAACATTAAAATTGACCAAATCTTATGTAGATGTTATGAACACACTGAACCATCAAATAAGTTCAAGGACAAATTAAGATATTTCATATATAAATTTCAAAATATAAGGCATATTTACAATTGAAATGGATTGTATAGCTGTTCTATTACATGTATTACTTTTGTCAGAAATTTGAAGAAATTTTTAAAGAATTAATTTCATTAAAATACTACAAGATTATTATTTTGTTACTTAAAACAAGGGTGCACACTCTGTCTTACTGATCATGATTGAATATATGTTGAAAATATTTAAGAAAAAGGTTTTACTACAAGTATCACATAAACTTAATATTATGAATAATACATGTAAATAAGGTCCAGGTAAGTTGAACCATGCCAGAAAGACATGGACACATTACAATCATTCCATACACTAAAAATAGTTGACCAATTGCTTATAGTATCTGAAAAATGGACCAAACCATGAAATCTTAACATTGACAAACCAATCATGAAAATGATTAACCCTCCATGACAGATGTTTACACAATGCAATCATTCCATAGTATCAATATATAGTTGACCTACTGCTTATAGTATGTGAGAAACAGATCTTATCATGAAAACTTAACATTGACCAACAAACCAATGAAAATGAGGTCAAAATCTGAGAAAGTCACCTGTTTTCACCTAAGTAATATTAATTTTAATGCCTAATAGTGTTCTGCATAGTTCTTGATAAAATGCAAACCAAATTGACGAACTGCAAGAAAATTGGTTAACATGAGATGAAAGTTTTCTGCAGTAAATGTTGATGTAGATTTGACTATCTTTAATAAAAGAACAGAGTTCCAATATCCCCCGCGTTGCACATACTTTATATTTCCAAGGGGCATTACTCTTTCGATCATCCACCATTATAGAACTTGTCCAAGATATTGCTGATATTAACCTATAGTATAAGTTTTATAAAAATCTGGCAAGAATTGTACCCGTGAGAGCGCTAACTAGGCCATTTTCCATAAATTTAATATTTCCAAGGGGCACGACTCTTTTAAAAAAGTCGATCGGCCACCATTATAAAACTTGTCCGAGATATTGCTGATATTAACCTATAGTATAAGTTTTATAAAAATCTGGCAAGAGTTGTACCAGTGAGAGCGCTAACAAGACCTCACGGATGCACGGACGGACGGACACACGGACAGCAGGTATATCCATGTCCCCCGCAACGCGTTACGCAGGGGACAATAAATGCCAAAACCTGTTGAATGTCTAACCATGTTCTTTGCTCACTAAAACTAAAATATGCTATTGTTTTCATCCTCATATGTTGGTCTCTTGTGGAAAGTTATTCCATTGGCAATCGTACCAAATTTCCTTATTTTCAAATATAACATGTAAAAGAAATCTTATTACAGTAATAACATTTGTCATATTATTCATCAATACTTACGGAAGGTCTTCAAGCTTTGCAGCATCATGTTTAGGGTCTAATAAGTCATAACCACTCTCATTATAGATTTCCAAGTAGGATATGTGTAAAGTATAAGATCGACCTCCATCCTACAATAACAAGTTAATACAAATAAGAACCATCCATCATTCAATTACTGTAAACCATATTTAACTACTTGTGTTCACATTTGGCCCTTTATACATAATTTTGCAACACTTTATTTTATTTTTTTTATGTTTGTATGGTTTGACATGTTCATGACAATTTATTTTTTCACGTAATTTTCTACTTGGGGAAAGTCCCAAAAATTAGTTGGTTTACAGTATACTGTAAATTCAGAACATTATAAGTGCATTTACTATTGCAATTGTTGTACAGTAGACAAAAAATGTGAGATAAATTTATCAATTTCATAAAATGCAGCATACAAATAAAATAAAATTTAAATGCAAGATTACATTTTTGCAAAAACTTATCCCATTGCAATTTCTGCAATACAATTGTAATAAAAACATTGCAAATATTTTTGAATTTACAGAAACAAAATATATATCAATAAGCAGTTTCTGATGACTGTTTTATAAGTTTAAAAACTCTTTATTAGTCCATACCAATTTGATTCTTTAGAATCTCTTAAAAGTCAATCTGAAAATACATACAATAAAAAAACCATGCAACAAATTAAGAGTTGAAATTGATATATTACCTGTTCAAACTGCTCAAATAAATATGATAAGCACCTAGGAATTATTCCTCTGTCATTATAACGCTCTGCCCCACCAGTAATTGTGAAGGTTTTCCCACTGCCTGTCTGAAAAACAATATTTTTCATCATACAATTAATTCTAACATTTCAGTTTCAACTTTCAAAATTTTAACTAGACCTGCTTGTTTACAACTAAAAAAATGAATATTAATTTTTTATTCATTTAACTCACTGTCATTGGTAAAAAATACTGATGTGAACAAAACACACAATTTAGATGTTTTTACAAAAAACACTTACTTGATGCTAAGAACCCTACTGTTATCTTTAAAAATGACCCCATGAGGGAAATAATCTGCTCAACATTCATTTTAAGAAAAACAATGTAACAGAATTTTGTGTTTGTGTCATTTAGATCAATCCACTTAATAATTGATGCAGAGCAAATTCAAAGAAAATTTATAGCATTTTTTATTAAATGTCAGACCATAAATTAAATATTTATGAACACAGCCCTACATCTATTTTCACTTTTTAGGGAAATTCACTTTCAGAGAAAAATACCCTTTACCCTACATAGTGATACATGAATCACCCTACCCAATTTGAATATCAGGCCTAAGAGAGAGGAAAGGAATATATTCTGTAATCTGGCCTATACATTTCTGTTAACTTACCTGACCATATGCAAAAATGGTTCCATTGTATCCCTGCAGAACACTAAAACAGAAAAAATGATCAAACTATAATCTAGTAAGACAGATTTGTCATATTTGCTAGCTGCATAATATTTTTGTGGATATACCTATCAGCAATCCTCAGTGATAAAAATTTTGAAAAGTCAAAGCTTTATATATATTGTTAGATATATATTTTTACCAAAGGGACCTGAAAAGAATACCCAAGAGCAACAGTTTTCAGTAGTTTACTTGATGAATTTTATATATATATATTATTTTGGTTGACTTTTCTTTTGGCCAAGGTTTTGTTTCTTCAACTTGTGTATTTTTAAAGACACTTGATATCTTATTACTTTTTAAAATAAAAGATTTGAAATCTTTCTAAAATTAAGAAGATGTGGTATGATTACCAATGAGACAACTCTCCACCATAGACCAAATGATGTAGATTTTGTTTTGTGTAAATTTATAAACAGAGAAATTATTCCTCATTACCAAAGCAATGACTATTATCCATGTTCTACAACAGCTATAAATTCTATAAATTTAATTTGATTAAACAAAAAAATCAATCTTTGATCCTTTGTTTTCTTGAGGGACAATATTCAACCAAAAGCTTTGGCTATGCTAGTTAATATAGCTTATCAGCATTAGCCAGCACATTTTGATCTAGTTCTCTAAAATATGTATTGTCTCTTCTTTCTCTGTTGAAGTGAGTGGTTATCTATTTGGTAGCTGTACAGTCCAAAATTTTTAATATGTATTCAGATAGGTTTAGGGGATATTTTGATACAATACATACAATAACATGGAAAACTAATTCAACCATACACATTATTTGTCTGTACTGGCCCAAACACAGAAGCTCTTTTCACAGAAAATTTTACTATTGATTTTAATTTATACTGAAATATTCATGACAAACTAGTATTTTTTATTAGAAAGATGTTTACAAAAAAATTACTTGTCTTGATGTTTGCCTTTGTGCGTTTTCTTTATAGATTGAGTTTGGTCAGTAGTTGTTTGTTTCTGCTATGGTGTCAAATGTAATCAGAAATGTTTTTGGTTTTGTTTTGTGCATATTAAGTATTTATAAAAAATATTAACAGTATCCATAAATTTAAAAGTAAATTGTATATATATAGGAACAAAATATACCTGTCTGCCACTGGCTTTGCAACATTATCAAATATTTCATCTTGTTGGGCGGACTGATCAAATACCTTTTGAAATCTGGAAAATATATATTCCCACATGTTAGAATAATGATAAGATAGAGTTGTTTCCCATTAGTATGAAACATATTTGTAAATAAGTGGTAAGATAAAATTTTGATTAAGCTTAATTTAAGTGATTAGTTAAATGGTCTAATAGCTTATAGCAAAAAGACTTTTGATGAGTCGCATCTCCAGGAAATTGTTTGTGTCCAAGCATTGATTTATATCTATTTCAGGTTTTTGATTGGTCATCAAGCATTTCCCAAGAAAAGGAGTTAAAAATTTCCAGCAAACACTCATACTTTAAATGAAGGAACAGAAAAAAAATCTACTGATATAGTGTAAAATGAACAAAGACCCATACTACATAAAAAATGTAAAAATAGTAAGCTATGAAATGGTTATTTGAAACAATGTGAAACAATAAAAAGAAAATAACTAATAACTATTTGCTTTAAAACGTAAGCCTACATTTGGAAAAAATCATTTTCAATTCTTGTTCTTCTTTTCATACTTTTCTTACAATCAATTCTCTCCATATATTTGCTATGAAATATTAATTCTGCCAAAAAATAAGATTTAAATTTATCTTATTTTTCGTATCTGTTTGTGTTTGAGCCTAGTCTTTATTCACAAAACTTTATACTTGTTTATTGTCAAAATATGTAGTACCTCAGTAGGTGTTGCTGTTTGGTATTTAAATATATCCAATGCAAAATGAGGTGTAAAAATTCTTTTTTTGAATATAACCAGTTAACAACTTTTTTCAATTGTTTACCTAAATTTATAATTTTCCTTTTTATTATTTACAAAACCATCAGCAAGTTCTCTAGGTACAGTAATTGTCAGTCTAGGATGGCTTTCATCATCTTCATCAATTTCATATAGCTGGAATAAAGAAAAATATGCTGTTTAATAGGCAAAATACATCTAATTTACAATCTTGACTTTTAAATATTGTGTTGATAAACGTTCTAATTACCATAACAAATTGATATCATTTAAAATGTAAGGACTATAATACAATGAATCTTATAGAGACCAAATTTTAAGCATTTGAAGGACTCTTAAGAATTACTCTTTATCCGTCCAGAGCAAAAAATATGGGAAGCCATCAAAGTAAAAAAAAGATGAACTAACAAAACCATTCTATCAATGTCATTCAGACTCTCTATTAAGTATATAATAATATATACATTTAAATTTGAGATAACTCCACAAAACATTTATTTCTAGCAAGATTGACCAATTTGAAACCAGGATATATATGATTAATCTGAGTTAAACACCATTTTGGAAGATTTACGACATAACAAGTATCAGTGGGATAGACCACCGCTGAAATCGAAATATAATAGAAGTTCGTGATAGAGTGACATTTCTCAAAAATGTCAGTTGGGTACATTGTGTTATATGGGGACGAAGTCCCCAATTACAGTAGAAAAATCAATAAAAAAATTAAAAAAAAGAAAGAAAAAAAATCAATCTACTGATGAACTCAAAATCTTTTTATTTTCTAACTTTTTTATTTTCCCCCATTTGTGCAGAAATCTCTTTCTTTCTTCCGGTCTTATTTGTCACAAGACTTTGAGTAATATATATATATTTATCAGTCTAGTAAAATATAGCAAGGAGCACAATGACAAATTTTTCATTTTAATTATTCTTTGATATGAATAAAAACCGTTACCTGATGATAGCGTTTCTTTGTTTACATTGAAAATGACATCACAACTAAAATCCCTAACAACAGGACCAAAATCAGAAACGTTTACGTATTTCTTTTTCTTTTTAAACAGATTCTGTAACCTTGAATCCTGTTGAAATATTTTCGATTTTGCAAGATTCAATTCAAATATATTCGAACCGGAAGTCCACTTATGGTATTGACGATATTGTGTCAGGATCCCAGACTACAGATTCTGAAGTTAAAATATCCTTGAATTCAAAAAATAATTTATACGGACTTCGTCCTCTTTCACAGGTAACACCTGCCTCATATTATTAAGGTGAAAAACTTAAAAAGGTATTTTTTCTGAAAAAAATCACTGTGCATGTTAGGTATATCCCAGGAAACACACGACGTCCTTGCAACGTTATGTATTGGTCGCTGGAAGGTCATGACTGACGTTACGTTAGTACGACGTTGTTGCAACGTTGTGAAAATGTAATTTTACGTCACGTCAGATACGACGTAGAAGGGACGTCAGGACAACGTTGTTATTGTTTTTAATAACGTCCATCTTACGTTGTTGCAATGTCATATCGCGACGCATCTGTCACGTTTCTGTAACGTTATAGCAACGTGGTCATATTTTTGGTCGATAGAATATTAAGTTGATTTTAACGCTGTTATAAAAGAGGAACTATGTTTTCGTCATTAATAATACATTGCAATAATAAAAAATAAGAAATAAATAAATGCAATATGTACTGTATTTGATCAAATAAATCACGTAATTAAAACGTTGTTGCGACATAATTATCGACACTCATAAAATTTACAATAGCAAAATTTCTTCTTTTACTGTTTTTTTTTCTTTTGTTGTACTGAATTTAAATTTCACTTTTTTTCTGTTCTTTTATTGAATTATTGAACGATATTGATTAGTTTTAAATCTATATATATATATATATATGCATCTGTTTTGAATTTTGACCCAGATAGTGGGTGCGACTGTGTCGCAATTGAGTATGAAATTTTAGCGCCAAGCAGCAAGCCACGTCTCTTTCGAACTGCATTCAGATTCAATGCAAGTAAATTTACCTTTGTATTGTTTCACTGTTGTTTTTTTCTCACTTTTTAGAAAGTTTATATTATATAGGAACAGAATAATATACTACACGATAAAGATATATCTACTATCGTCTTTAAATGAACAATAAACAATTCAAAACTGAACCAATTTTAAATGTATCTGACCTACATATAAATATATATATATCGCACCACTGTTCTGGTTTTACACGTGCATGATGTAATATCTAAAACCGTTTCAGAATATAGGAATTTAATTGTGTTTTACATATATATCTTGCTTTATATTATAATTTTATTAATGTAACACTCAACATGTATTCATTAATTTTTGTAAATTTCGTCTGCAGAAACCTTACACACGTGCAGCTAATTTGATTCTAATTGAGGTCAGGATAGCAAGCTATCACAGTGTTATTTATTTGCCAGATCATGTTTCCTTTATAACATGTATAAACAGACACTGTGTATTTACAAGATAGTTTGTCTTATGCATTGAACTCTTAAAGAACCGATAAAAATTTAGAATGAAGGATTTGATTTTGATTTTCGGTGTTTTACGCCACTTTTAAGCACTGCTTTTGGGCTATTTCGTGGCGGCCAGGTTTTATTGGTGGAGGAAGCCGGAGTGCCCAGAGAAAACCACCGACCTTCGATAGGAAAACTGACAATCCTAGTCAATTAAGATTGGAGTCGAGCGCACCCGCACGGGTGGGGTTCCAACTCACAACCTCAGTGTTGACTGGCTAGTGATTACAGTAGTAACTATTTAGACCACTCGGCCACCGATGCCCCCTAGAATGAAGGAATACAAAACATAAATGTTCCCTTAAGAGACTTTATGAAACTGATAATAGCAACCTGACTTTTTTTTTTACTAAAATCAAAAATTATATTTTTCGCAAGGGACAATCAAATTTACAAAAAAATAATACCGCTGCTCCTCTTATTATCATATGGCAAATTTGTAAATGTAAAACGTACATTTATTGATCTTAATTTTCAATTATATTTAAATTTTTATGCTTTGGCAGTGGCTATTTTTCAGGCGAAACATTAATTATGTTTTGATTATAATATTTTTTTTAATTAAAAGTGAGCTATAAATAGCATAATTCAATAGCAATTGCTATTTTTCCGGCGCCAGCAATATTGTGAATTTATTATTTTGCCGGTTTTTTGTAAAGTTTATATATATATATATAGTATATCTGATATATCACATTGACGCTGGGACTATTGGTATAATAGTACCAGATTGACGGTTCTAAATGTATATAAGAATAGCTGCTGTTTATTTTATTAGAAGTATTTACTTATACTCCCAATAAATAAATATATTTTGTTATTATAATTGATAAGGTTGTTTTTTTTTAAATTATATTAAATATCATTATTCAAATTTTATCAATGTCAATTTTTGTAGAGGCTTACATGAAGAACTACCCGTCAGCAAGGGCATCAGATGTCGAGGAATTGATTGGCGGAACATGCTATAAGGTAAGAATGCCCTTATTTACCCCGTATAGTGCAACCTTCAATTTGGGATTATTAAACAAAATTATTATTGTTTGTATTCTATGTTGAAAATTACAGTTGGTTTTTTTTTAATTCAGTACGAAATTGTTATTATAAATATGTATTTGTAACTAGTATTGTGAATACCAAGACGCTCTTTTGGGACAATAAAGGGTAACATTAAATTTAACTGAATATATAATTATGTGGTTTATGTGTTATTCAAGGAGATTCGGAAAGCCACGTCTTACACACAGCTACATCTAGTATTTATTTGCAATAATGTTAGACCTAGAATAATTACAATTTCAGTTTTTGTACAAATAAGTTTTTTTATTGTCATTGCAGGAACCAATTGGGTAAATGAAGCAGTTCCGTAAATACCAGGGACCCAGGAGAACGTTTAGTAATTTAAAATAAACAAAGTTAACGATCAATTCTTCACTTTTTGATAAACAGGCATCATTTACTTTTCATTTTTTTGTTTTTTATAAAACTTTCATGGATGGGTATTTAGCTAGTCAGATATTATATTCAGAACGTGAACATGCTGAATGAGAAATGGATACTTATCAAAAAGAAGATGTGGTATGATTGCCAATGAGAATTTCCACAAGAGACCAAATGACACAGAAATTAACAACTATTTAAGTCACTGTACGGCCTTCAACAATGAGCAAATCCCATACCGCATAGGCAGCAATTAAAGACGGGTTAAGAGGGACAGGGGGAACATCCAGCTTATAGAGTAACATATATGATAAATGCATATTATTTTTACGAGCACTAACTATCAAGAACTGCATACGAACATGCAGCGACTCAGCTATCGATGGCCCAAAAACACAATAAAATTCCTTTCTGTAATATCAAAAATTACTGAAACAGTAATTTGATTGAAGCTACAAAAAATTTGAAAAAAAACAGATGATGATAATGCCGAATATACAAATTCCTTCAGAGAATGACACCAACATGTATCATCTAGAGGTCACCCATACTTGCCAACCTCTGACAATGAGAAATCATGTCATGACATGACATGACATGTCAAAAAGCGTGTGAAAACGCGCGACGTAGATGCAGACTTTTTCACACTATATAAATTTGTTAATATAAAAAACAATATTCTACTGTAAACTTTTATTGTTTTCAACAGTGGTCTTTTAAAGCAACACCACTAGGCACATATTCTAAACAATTGCCAGTTTGGTTACATTTACTTGATAACAAGACACACAATATATATCATTGTCAAGTTCTGATCAGAATTCAGTGTACACTTCTTTATAATTGAAAATGCTCTCTCACAGTCAGGATTGATATTTGGTTGAACTATATGTATATATAATAGCTTTATTAAGCTTTGAAAGAGTGTCATAACGTTTTTTTTTGCCATCTAAAATGTCATCTTTTATCTCTGCCATTGCTCCCAACAAAATATATATGTTGCTATTGCCTGGTCAAAACTGGGAAGTTCATCAGAAGACAGCTGGTACTATGAGAACTGATCCAACAGTTCCGTGATATTTCCAACCCCTATGGCCTGTGGAAATCTGTTGGCCAGATTTGAAACTGAAAAAGAAAAATATTTTATAGTTTGATTACCATTCAACATTATATGCTTCATCAAATAGCTACATTGTAGTTCTCCTCTCACATGTATTGTTATGATTGCAACTTAGGGTGCACATTATGCGTTACTCATCCGTCGCTCATTTAAACTCGAAAACCAAAATATAATTTATAAATCTTGAAATTATCTTGGTACGTACGCATATATACACATCATTTTCGCTTAGCAATCGACTCTTTAGACGACAGTAGTCCTGAAAGAGACCTCTTTCTGTGGACACTTCCCCTAAGTGAATTTGAAAGAAAGAAAATCTTTCAAAATCGTAAATACTAATCACAAACTACTTACCTTAAGGGCTTTTGCTGTTCGTCCATAACAAAAATAATCAATGGCGTCCAAACAATTGTTTCGAAATTTTCGGTATTTATCGTCAAGTAATGAAAAAACCCGTGAATCGCGATATCACTAACGACCAAAAAATCAAAACAAAGAAAAAGCGTGTAATTGCGTGTAAAGTGGTGAAAAGCGTGTACACGCCATGTGACAAAATCCTCGCGTGTAAACCGTTGAAAAAGCGTGTATTACACGCGATTATCATGTCACTTGGCAACTATGAGGTCACCTCATGGTCACAAACACAGTTGATACTGTGTATGTATATATATGATAATTTTTGGGCCAATTATATAGCATAATATAAAAGTGCAAGTATATTACGTCGACATAACGTGATATTAACGTTGTTGTAATGTCAGGAATAACGTTGTAGAAACGTAATTTTAGGTCACCACAACGTTGATGTATAACGTTGTGACAACGTCGACATAACGTGATATTAACGTTGTTGTAATGTCAGGAATAACGTTGTAGAAACGTAATTTTACGTCACCACAACGTTGATGTATGACGTTGTGACAACGTCAAGAAAACCATACACTTTTACGTAAATACAACGTAATAACCTGACGTCAATGCGACGAAAACATTACATTGTCACGACGTAATATTGTTAGCTGGGATGCAACATGTTTACTCTTGCTATATAATGCATATTGTGGGTGTGACAATCACATGAATATGGATTTGATTGATGTGATATAGGACTTCTAAATATATTTTACTTTTCTATTTCTAAGTCTAATCAAACAGTAATTGAGCAGACAGCCAGGTTTAATATTTTGTATGAAAACAGGCTGAAAATAACATATGGTGTAACATGTTTACCCCTGCTTTGGATCGTGTTGGTTTTACTCTTCCGAATATCTGGATAGTTTGTTTAACCATATTTTTTATATTTGCAAAGACTTTACAGGCAAGATTTGCGACAGGTTAATTAATTAGAAAATAACTCTGGTTTCCAAAATAGGCAGCCATTTTAAAACATTACAGTACCGAGGAATCACATTCCTTGGTATTTGATTGGTTAAATATGGTGTATAAGTTTCTGTTATGTCTCGGACAGAGTACGATACATGTTCCGCGCTGATCACCTGAATCGAACACACGTACATTAAAAAAGTACAATTTACATACAGGGTATAATAATTCTTGACAAATAAACCTTTTATAGCTGACTCTAAGGTCATCGCAGAAAGTCCGTGTATTTATTCAGTAAGGGAATAACCATCTTCAAACAAGAAAGAGGAGTTATGGTTGTTTTAGGGGGGTCTGATTCTAAAGACAAGAAAAAATAACTCTGTCTCAGCATTGGCAAAAAACCCATTTTGTTTTGCAAAACCAAGAATTACTATACCGAAATCCTTGACAAAACTATGAAAAAAATATTCTGGTTTTAATAGGTGTATTAAAAAAAATGAAGTCAAGATTTCACAGTGCGGCTTGAAAAATTCAAAGTATTACAAGAAATGCTCTAGATGATGATATTTACATACATGACTTGCTTGCTTTATTTTTAACTTAAAATATCTTCTTTTGTTTTTCTGTTCATACTTGACCTGGCTTTCCGAGTGATACATCATTAAGATGGAGAGCAACAATCAGAGCATTGTTCATTAAAAGAATATACATAATGCATGTACACGTACATCCACCCAATGTCAAGTGGCGAATTTTGGGGCGAAGAGGGAGTACAAATTGTTTTGATTAATTGTCATTTTTTATCAATACTGAAATCGTAAAAAAAAATCCTTCCGCTAAGCACGGTGGTATTTTATAGATATAGGAAGATGTGGTATGAGTGCCAATGAGACTACTCTCCATCCAAGTTACAATTTATAAACTTGAGTAAACCATTATAGGTCAAGGTACGGCCTTGACCTATACTAACCTTTTTGACAACTACGCTACCTTTCCTCGAACCCTGGATCCGCCTCTTATGTAAGTCTTTCCATATTGCAGATACTTTTGTAAACTTAGTATGCTGAGAACGATACATAAATGCATTTCAGCATAACACTGCATGCGTAAAAGATATTTAATCAAGTGCGGACAAGGGACTGCTGTCTCATGAATATCCACCTACTTTATACCGTTGGAAGCCTTAATGCTAATGATTTCATAGGAATGCACACACCTTTTACTTTCTTATCGTTGAAAAAAAAACTTCTGTTTCGACATAAGAAAAAAATTAATTTGGTTTGATTGCAGTTGAAAAAAAAAATTGTCCAACTGTTAAAAACAAAAATTTCAAACCTATATAAACAAGACTGCCCACGCTGAAATGGTTCGCCTGCTTTACTGACCATTGATTTTATGTTGATAGTCCTAAATATAGTTTTACTACAAGCATCGCATAAACTTCACAGAAAATGGGGTCAAGGTCTGATAAACCAAGCCAGAAATACATGTACACCTTACAATCATTCCATACACCAAATATAGTTGACCTATTGCTTAAAAGTATACAAGAAACAGACCAAACCACGAACACTTTACAGTGACCAATGAACCATGAAGATGGTCAAGGTCAGATGAACTCTGCCAGACAGACATGTACACCTAACAATCATTCCAAGCTTTAAATATAGTTGAACTATTGCATATATTATCTAAGAAACAAACTTAACCAAGAAAACCTAACATTGACCAATGAAAATGAGTTCAGGGTTCAGATGATAACTGCCAGACAGACATATACACGTTACAATCATTCCATACACCAATTATAGTTGACCTATTGCATACAGTATTAGAAAAACAGACCAAAACACAAAAACTTAACTTATACCACTGAACCATGAAAATGAGGTCAATGTCAGATCACACCTGCAAGTTGGACATGTACACCTTACAATCATTCCGTACACCAAATATAGTAGACCTATTGCTTATAGTATCTGAGATATGGACTTGACCACAAAAACTTAATCTTGTTCACTGATCCATGAAATGAGGTCGAGGTCAAGTGGAAACTGTCTGACAGGCACGAGGACCTTGCAAGGTACGCATATCTAGTTATCCTATTACTCGTGATAAGAGAGAAATTAAGACTACAAAGAATCTTAACTTTTTTCAAGTAATCACTGAACCATGAAATTGAGGTCAATGACAATGGACGTATGACAGACGGAAAATTCATAACATAATAAGTGTGAAGCATCCAGGTCTTCTACCTTCTGAAATGTTAAGCTTTTAAGAAGTTAGTTAACGCTGCCGTCGCCGCCGACGCCCCCCGGATCACTATCCCTATGTCTCGCTTTCTGCGACAGAAGTCGCAGGCTCGACAGAAACCATAACACTCTCCCCTTGAAGTTATATGGTTGCTCCCTACGATTCGTTTTTGTTGTTGTTTTTTTAGTTGTTGCCTTGTTGATAATTAGCTCAGTACTGGACATTGTTGATAATTATTAACAAATTGGTGCCTCCAGTACACAGATGAATTAACTGAACTGAACATTGTATGAGAGTGTTCGTGGATCGTCAGATTAACTAAGATTTGTGATCATGATGTCATTTTTTAAGTGTCTGTTTCTTGATAAATATATGAATTTATATTTTTTCTTTCGTGGGGAAAAGGGGGGGGGTGTACCTTTAATTATTTTTAGGAGAATAAATTATAGTTTTAATCATTGTCAGGGATATGAATATATAATATAAAAAAAAATATAAAAAAAACCAAAGACACAAATTACCGATCTAAGAGTATTTGCAGTTAATAAAAGCTAATTCAAAGACAATTACTACCAATAGATAAATCATGTTTTCCCAGAATAAAATATCAATCAATACACATCCGACGGATTTAGTCTAAATACTTCAGAAGCAGTCTGATCAAGCTCCACTAGTTGCATTCGTTGTGTTCTTCTTTGCAAGTAATTATCGGATTTGATGAAGTCACAATCTATAGGATGGATTAACGACAAGGACACTCGGAACATTTTCAGAGTCATCTGTAACGCAGATATTTCATAACCATTTCACGACGGCGTCCGTAAATCTTTCAAAGCTGACTCGAATATGTTGGCACATAGAAATAGAAAGTTCACAATGGGAAAATTAAAATCGTCTCTTTTGTCGTAAAGTTTAATTCTCAAATGATCCTAATTATCAATTTCCAGATGGAAGTCAAAATATGAAGTAGACTTCTATGTATCTTTTATTTCAAGTTCGATAACATACATTCGATTTAATGTTTGATTATCATAGATGCGATCAATTGTTTCATTATTATCACATAGAATCATTGCAATCATTGCAACCATTGTAACTAAATTCAATGTAATTCTTCAGCTTATTTCTTTCTTAATATAATAGTCTTCCAACATGGAATTATTTGGCGAGAGGACATCATCTATGTAGAGGAACGTGAAGTTAAAGGATATTGCTAACTTCTTTTCATTATTCTTGGGAAGCTCTTATATTAATTTTGCCTTATATAAATAAAGGAACAGGTAGATAAGAAGAGGAGCACAGTTTGTTCCCATAAGAATGTTGATTAGCTGTTGAAAAAGAAAAGAGATAAAAGCCGGTAACACAATATTTTGTTTTTAATCGGACATGGAAGAAAATGTGAAAAAACCAAAATAAAGATCAGTAATAATGTATATAGGAAAATTTGACTGATTGACAATCTTAAATCATTGTCCAAAAAGATTTTTATGACGAAAATTTGCTTTACATGGTAATGGTATGCTTTACTCAGCTCAATTTTAATTCCATAACTTTTTTTTCTTTTTCTCTCTTTTTATGGTGAATATAGAAGATATGGGGTATACGTCAACATAACGACAAAAAAGACATCTGCGAATTATAATTTTTTATCGAAACACTGCACGTAATATCATACTTCTATAAATCAAAAAAAATATCGCGGTTTCCTTCCGAAAATAATCAAAAGCACACTTGCTTTTCTCATTTATCTACTATATCTTCCTAAACTGATTGATTGATTTGTGTTTGCTTTACGCCGCCTCAGCACAAAAAGCCTACATCGAGGCGACTGAGAGCTAATAGTCAAATATATTTACAAAGGTAGTTTTTAAACATATGCTCGCAGTACCTCCATGTGTTTGTTTGTTGTAGGTGGATTTTTTTAAACACAAACTCTAGTTTCTGTGAAAAAAATCTTACTACCGTTAAGTAAAGGTATATGGGTTAGCAACATTACAGCAACAAGTGTCTGTGTTTTTTAAATCTGATTTTGTATCTTTGGACTCGTCTCGGTTTTTTTCATTCTAAACAAACCATATCAGAACTCGAGGCGATTAAGAGCTTTTCGTGTGTACGACACCTGTCGACCTTTCAAATGTATTGTTTGGTTGCTGCCTCATTAATATTTATCGCGAACCTTCTTTAATTCATACCAAGAATCGATGCGTTGCTGTTATATATTGCCAAAAACATTGCCTTTAACACGGTGGGAGTGCATTACGATGTTTTTTCCACTAAAACTGTACAGCGATAATCGATTTTACAGTCAAAGCGTTGAAATGTCTACCAGTTCTATTTACATGATTTTGCAGTCGATTTAGCAACAATTGTTTTTTTGTCGTTGTCTGTAAAAAAATTTCCTGTCTGTCAATCAATTTTTCTTTATGCATATATATGCTTGTTCTATTTCTATTTATCATGTCCTGTTCACTCAATTAGCTGTTGATGTTCGAATAGATCTCCGGCGACTGAATATTAAAGGCATGGTTATCTGTGTGGGAAAATATGAGAATCAAACATGTATTTGGAGAACTTTCACGGCTACTAGTATATAATGTCGTCTGATAACAGCTAGGCCACAAAGCGGCTGTTCTGTGAAGAAAATACGCTGGACTTCGTTTAATATCGTCGACATTTCATGTAGACCAACGACTTAACTGAAAGAAATCACTGTTAAAAGTTATAGTCACCACACTTCTGTCTATTCTGTTATGTACGTTATCCATGCATTTTTGACACATTTTCACTTGCTATACGAGATTTACGAAGTTGGTCGGATTCTGGCTTT